TTAATTGATTTTAGTTGTGTATCGCTGAGTGTTGCAATTACAGACATTCAATAAATACTTTACGAAATATGAGGGTGGTACAATTTACCCGGCGGTACAATATACCGAACTCTCCCCTATCTAGGTGACCTGGAGATACAGTCGGATTTTATGCGATATAATCTAAATATTTGAGTTCAACAAAAGAGACATGTTGAACTGTATCATCAATTTTGTGTTCCATCCTATGTACCGTGTTTCATGTAATAAACAACTTGAATTTTTGAATTTTTTTGAATTTAGTCGCAGAGCGCGGCGTCGGCGGGCAGCTCGCCCATCACCATCAGCTTCAAGAACGCGCGCGCCAGCCCCTCGCACGCGCCCGACCAGCCTCCCAACGGTTAGTACTTAGTACTTCATTTTAAATAATAACCAAAAATTCAACTGGCTAAGGCGGGAATCGAACCCACGACCTTTCACTTGGCGGGCGACTGCTCTTTCAACTGAGCTACTTGGACACTCGATGAACCCATCGAAATTTTTATAACTCAGCATGCCCATAAACCCAAGGCGTCCACTGAAAATCAGTGTCCAGCCATGCATTTAGCTGGCTGGATATACTAAGTGCGCGTCCTTTTTGCCACATCGCCTTATAATAAAATGATTTTAAAAATCAATCAAAATTTTCATAGGCTCTTAAAAAATAGTGACACTGAATAATAATCTAATAGTGACACTGAATGGGCGCCTTTTTGGCACGAAAGTCTTATTGTCTTTTTTTGTTTAGTGAGGGTTTTCGCGATTGAAAAATCCGCCAGATGGCAATACATAGACGCGAGGTCCAAATGATGCATGATTGGTTATTTTTGACATGACATTGACAGATATGTCAAAATCCATCCACCAATCATGCAGCATTTGGACCTCCCGTCTACGTATTGCCATCTGGCGGATTATTCAATCGCGAAAACCCTCATTACATAGTTTTTACTCATTTTTATTTTAACAAGTCTTTGAGTGGTAACACTATCTTGAACATTGTGTGTCATTCCCAGCTGCGGCGGAGTCGCGCGTGCGGCGGCCGCACGTCGCCTTCACGGACGAAGACGAGGCGCCCGCGCACGCGCCGCCCGACCTCGCGCACAAGGGTAAGCACACATGCCGATCTAAATATCAATTACATTGCTGATAATCAGGAATACCTTATACTGATTAAACATTAAATTATGAGTTAATTTGGGCCCCATACGTATCGGTTATGCAGCAACACTTACCAAATGGTCTTCTTTAACTTACTGTCGCTATAACAAGTTGTAGTCTAACCACGACTTTTATTCTGTACTAGCGGCCGCCCGCGACTTCGTACGCGTGAATCCTGTTTTTCCCGCTAATTCCCGTTCCCGTGGGAATTTCGGGAATTCCTTTCTTAGTGCACCTCTACGGTACCTAAGCTACGTCCCTTCCAAATTTCAAGTGCCTACGTTTAGCCGTTTAGGCTGTGCGTTGATCTGTCAGTCAGTCAGTCAGTTTCTCCTTTTATATATTTAGATAGCGATTTCAATATTATCCAACTCTCCCTTATTTCAAACTAACTTTCCGCCCGCGGCTTCGCCCGCGTGTCATTTTGTCTGTCACAGAAAAACTTTATCGCGCGCGTCCCTGTTTCAAAAATCGGGATAAAAACTATCCTATGTACTTTCCCGGGACTTAAACTGTCTCTATGCCTCATCAAAATCGGTTCAGTGGTTTAGGCGTGAAAGAGAGACAGACAGACAGTTACTTTCGCATTTATAATATTAGTATAGATTATACCGTTAAAAAATTTAATTGAGTTATTTTGGGCCCCATATGTATCGATATGCAGCAACATTTTTCACAAAATGGTCTCCTTGATTTTCTGTCTCCGTAACAACTTGCAAGCTACTTCGACTTTTATTCTGTATAGCGATTTCAATATATCCAACTTTCCCTCATTTATTTATTTATTTATTTATTAGGTCTACCAACATTGTTACATTACAACATGTACACTTAAAAATAACAATTATGAACAAAGTTACAATGCAACAACAATTATAGGCTGACACAACATGCAATATAGATTCAATGCAGTTTGTTCCGAACCGTTCCATGCACACAAAAAACATTTAATCATATCAATATTNTGGCGAGGGTTTTTATGTTCCTGGTCAGGCTATACCTCAGTTTTTTTGTCATGTCTTATTTAGTTAAATTATTTATTTTTTATATTCGAAATCTATGTATAACACCAAATTATTACCCTTTGTTTTTGTTCTGGCGTTATACAAAAACTAATACAAAATGCCTATTAATCACCAAAATTGGTAAATGTATGTTATGTTAATGTTAGTAATGTTCATTACAGCTGCTATGGAATGTATCTAGGTGACCTGGAGATACAGTCGGATTTTATGCGATATAATCTAAATATTTGAGTTCAACAAAAGAGACATGTTGAACTGTATCATCAATTTTGTGTTCCATCCTGTGTACCGTGTTTCATGTAATAAACAATTTGAATTTTTTTGAATTTAGTCGCAGAGCGCGGCGTCGGCGGGCAGCTCGCCCATCACCATCAGCTTCAAGAACGCGCGCGCCAGCCCCTCGCACGCGCCCGACCAGCCTCCAAACGGTTAGTACCTACTTCATTTTAAATAACAACTTGGAAAAATGCAACTGGCTTAAAAAAAGTACAAGTATTTTATTTGCCAACAAAAAGTTTACAATCTGTTTATCTAGCGGCTGCTGTACTAAGCTGTGCTTGTGTCGCGGCAGCCTTAAGTAACACAGGTTAACAATGTTGATAAAATATAGTGAGGACACACGGCGGGAATCGGACCCACGACCTTTTACTTGACGGAAGACTGTTCTTCCAACTGAGCTACTTAAAAAACTCATTAAAACTCATTTATTTCTGTAAATAGGCTTAAAAAAGCACTTTTACACGTCCCAGTATTAACCCTACCACTGCTTCGGGACAATAAATGGGCCAGTGCTGAGAAGAAGCAGCGCAAGAAACTCAGTCACTATTGTCAGCCTCTTTTTCAAAGGTTTACATGCTTTAAAATGTACAAAGTAACGTATCCCAAACATTTTTATCTTTTAAATAATCATTAACTTTATAGTACCCCTTTTTCATTAAAGTACTTTTAATATGTGCTTTGAATTTATGAATGTGTAGTTCTACAACAGTTTGTGGTAATTTATTAAAGAATAGACAACTTAGGCAATGGATGAACCCGTCGAAATTTTCATAGGCTCTATAAATGTCTGATAGCGACACTGAATCTGCGCCTTTTTGGCACGAAATTTCCTATATTGTTTTCGATATTATTTTATTGTTTTTTTGTTTAATTACATAGTTTACCAATTTTTATTTTAACAAGTCTTTGAGTGGTAACGCTTGAACGTTGTCGTTCCCAGCTGCGGCGGAGTCGCGCGTGCGGCGGCCGCACGCCGCCTTCACGGACGAAGACGAGGCGCCCGCGCACGCGCCGCCCGACCTCGCGCATAAAGGTAAGCACGCAGCGATCCAATCGATATTATAAAATCGCTTTAATTGCTGATAGTTAGGAATTTATACAGATTTATTAAAGATTATACCGATAAAAAATTAAATTATGAGTTATTTTGGGCCCTATATGTATCGTTTATGCAAACATTTTTTTTACAAAATGGTCTCCTTAATTTTCAGTCTCCGTAACAATTTGCACGCTACCTCGACTTTTATTCTGTATAGCGATTTCAATATATCCAACTTTCCCCCATTTAAATGATGTAACTGTTTTTGCCGGTCGTTAGGTCGCGACAGCAATATAATTACGCACGAGCGATAAGGGTGGGTAACTTGGGGTCATTGGACAAAATTCTACGTGCTCACAGACCGGGCTTTAGTTCATTAATAAATAATGGNAATGATGTTCCTACAGGCAAAGAGAAGAAAGATAAAGACAAAGACAAGGACAAGGACAAGAGCAAGAAGGCGGCGGCGGCGGCGGAGAGCGACAAGGACAGCAAGAGCGCCGAGGAGAAGCGCAAGCACATCAAGAGCCTCATCGACAAGATCCCCACGCAGAAGGAGCAGCTGTTCCAGTACAAGCTGGACGCCGCGCACATCGACGCCGCGCTCATGGACAAGAAGATCCGGCCCTGGATCAACAAGAAGGTTTATAACAAAATTCCTGAAAGATTTAAAATAGGTCCTGCAAAAGTAATGACCAGAAAGCTTAGGGAATGGCTAACCGCTTCCTGCTTTTACAGTGTTCAGGAATTTCTGGACAAAAATTTGCATGTTAATGTATTTTAGCAGAATAGAGCACTTTGTATTTACAACACTATCTGTATCAACCTATTCTTTGCAAATAAATGTCTTTGTCTTTGAAGATCATCGAATACATCGGCGAGCCTGAACCCACCCTCGTCGACTTCATCTGCAGCAAGGTCCTGGCCGGCTCCGCGCCGCAGGGCATCCTCGACGACGTGCAGATGGTGAGTCTGTCCCGCCGCCTGTCCCGCGGGACACGCGAGCCCTGTCCCACCCGCGGCGACTTCATCTGCAGCAAGGTGCTGGCCGGCTCCGCGCCGCAGGGCATCCTCGACGACGTGCAGATGGTGAGTCTGTCCCGCCGCCTGTCCCGCGGGACACGCGAGCCCTGTCCCACCCGCGGCGACTTCATCTGCAGCAAGGTGCTGGCCGGCTCCGCGCCGCAGGGCATCCTCGACGACGTGCAGATGGTGAGTCTGTCCCGCCGCCTGTCCCGCGGGACACGCGAGCCCTGTCCCACCCGCGGCGACTTCATCTGCAGCAAGGTGCTGGCCGGCTCCGCGCCGCAGGGCATCCTCGACGACGTGCAGATGGTGAGTCTGTCCCGCCGCCTGTCCCGCGGGACACGCGAGCCCTGTCCCACCCGCGGCGACTTCATCTGCAGCAAGGTGCTGGCCGGCTCCGCGCCGCAGGGCATCCTCGACGACGTGCAGATGGTGAGTCTGTCCCGCCGCCTGTCCCGCGGGACACGCGAGCCCTGTCCCACCCGCGGCGACTTCATCTGCAGCAGAGTCTCGCTGTCCCGCTCACTGTTCCGCAATACACGGCGAGCTTTGTCCCACCTGCACCGCATAGCTGTGCAGATGGGAAGCGTCTCTGAGCTTTGGTTTTGCGTCGTAGGGCATCCAGACTCCGGTGTGGTGTTCTGCAGGGTTGGATAAGATAAGAAATTACTATGTGTACGTTTCGTTAACGACCACCATTAATCGCGCAGGTGCTGGACGAGGAGGCGGAGGTGTTCGTGGTGAAGATGTGGCGGCTGCTGATCTACGAGCTGGAGGCCAAGCGCGCCGGCCTGCACAAGTGACCCGGCTCGCCGCCCGCTCCGCAGCCTGAGGCCCCCGGGGTGCCCCCGCCGGAGCCCGAGGCCCCCGCGGCGGGGCTGCGGTGGGCCCCGGTGCCCCCGCTGCTGTGCTGCCCGCTGGCGCGTCCGGGCCTGCCCCCGGGCGCGTTGTCTCGTCCGCGCACGAGTCCACACGCGCGCGCTATCACCAAGTTCGGCTGCTTCTGCATCTGACCCGGAGCCGCCTGTCCCGTCGTTATGTTTCCGTCTTCCAAATAATTTACTCGCGTATCGGTCTATTGTCTCCGTTGTTTTGTTCCGCTTCGCTTTAGGCCCGGTTTTTTGATTCGCAATTAAAATAACCGATGGTCAAATTTGACAGATGTCAAATGACAAGTGATTAAATATATCAGAAAAAAATGTTTTTCGAACAACGGTTAGCTTGACTTTTAGTACGTTTTTTAACTATTAGTTAACATTTTGTTAATATTTAACCATTAGTAGCAAAATTTAACAATTTGTTATTTTAACTATGAATCAAAAAACTGGCCCTTACTGAACTTGAGTTTCTGCCGGTCGATTCGCCGAGTTTCTCCCGAGGATTCCTCGTGAGAAAATTTCGGACCTTGAGTCGATAATAAACGTCAGTCGATATTGACGCTCGGGCTTATTAGTCACCGACCCGAGCTCCCCCGATGATTTCGTTTCCGTGTTTATCGTCTTGCTAGTGGATCCACATCTGACACGCGAGACCCTCCCTGTCAAACCCCGATTTACTCCGATCTTTGACTCCTCACCGATAGGGTCGGGAAAGTTTCAAATGTTTAAATAAAATATTAATCGCATGATAATAAACTAAATGGCAGCGTATAGCCGGAAATATATAATCAGTGTAGTAGTAGTAACTATAAGTCACTTTTATCAATAAAATCGTGTATACCATAAAGAAAAATTGATTGTACGGGCGTTAGCATTCAATGTGGCGACACTTCGTGTGAACTATCATTAATTTAATGATGTACGAGTATGTGTTGATTTGTTCTCGGAAACGGCTTGTTCTGCGAGATTGAGATTTATATAATACCTAGTTTGCGAATAATTTGAATGTTGATTGTTTTAAAATTCGGCTTGTTAAAATAATTTGACACTGTGTACTAAATGTAATAAGTATCTGATATATTTTTATGTATACTTGGTATTGGTATTGCTCAAGACGTTCATTTGTACAAAAGTACATCGTCTTCTGACGTGTACATAGGTTTCTTTTTTTACGCTTATGTGATAGGCTAATACTTGTCCAGACGTTGACTCTTAGAAAAATAGAACCAAAAGTATTATAACTTGGGCGAGTCAGTCTAACTTGAACCTATTTTTCTGAGGGTCGAATGTATTAATTTCTTGACAGATCTATTTATAACTAATGTATTCATCGCTATTTATAATAAACGTTCCGTATTGTTCCTTCGCGGACTGTGTACTCGTATGTAGTAATGGTATTTAACCGGGCTCGTCTACGTTGCGGCGGTATAACAACATGTACTTACTCTGACATACAATTAAACTTGTGACGCAACGTAGAACGTTACAATAATATAATAGAGTAGTATTTTTTCTCTCACTAAAATCCTTAGACAAGACGAAAATGAGTTCTTTTACATTCATTCCGCTAGGTCACGTGATTTTTGATGATTTTATTGATTTGGAGGTGTCTCGACGAACGCGTTGTAAACCGTCGGCCCGAGACGCCTCCGCGGCGCGAGCGGGCGCGTGTATGTCGCGTTGTGTTTGTGTGCGTGCGGCGGCGCGTGCGAGAGGCGTGAGGCTGTGTGAGTGCGCCGCCGCCGCGGTGTCAAGTGATTACGTTTAATAAGTTTAATTATACCTCCTAGGGTTATTATTAAATATATAATATAATATCTCATTTCGTGTTTTATTTTTATACCTACCTACACTACACAAATAAACAATTTCATAAATTGATAGGTAACAAATATTCGCACAGACGACGGCACCTCAGGCTAAAGAAACACTTATTTTAATTGTAACATGTAACGAGAAAGTTGCAAAAGTGATTTTGCATCTAAAAAGTGTATTAGGCTGATGTGCTGTCTCTCTCTCACACAACATATCAACTGTGCAAATAGGTATTAGGATAGTTAAGTATTTGATAGAGATTGTTTAAAATGAAGGCAGTAGAGAGTAACATTTCACTAATTATGGATGTAGGTTATCTACTATATAAAAATAAGTCGGGTTTTCCTCCCTGACGCTATAACTCCAGAACGCACGAACCGATTTCCACGGTTTTGCATTCGTTGGAAAGGTCTCGGGCTCCGTGAGGTTTATAGCAAAGAAAATTCGGGAAAAGGGGGTAAAACGGGATCCACGCGTACGAAGTCGCGGGCGGCCGCTAGTTACATACATAGGTACGGCGCGGTTGGCAACAAACAATGGGTGTAATTCATTAGTCTGTTTGGAAAAGGATTTCAATGCTAATGAAACTGAGCGCTATCTGGCGGCGCATCCAATCGGTAATTGCCGGATTATTCGCGGCCGTGCGCGACTAAACCCGGTCGGGCTATTCGGACGTGTTATGAATTGACACCAAAATGTTGACCATTGTTTTTGTTATTACCATAGTAAGTAGGTACATACTCATACCTAGGACTCTAAATTTAGCAACTTCTAGGTACTAACAGCATTTTGTTAATTTAGTTGTTTACAGTAGGAACCCCTGTACGCATCAAAGGAAAAAAAATACAACATGCAAAAGAAGTAAGTACCTAATACCTACCTTATAGGTAAATCCTCTAAAATAACTACCGTGAGTATACGTGGGTTTTTGTAATTCTTAAAAACACGTACCTACGGAATATTGAGTGAGTAGCTATAAAGATTTTCCTTGTTTGAAAAATACTAATTTACTTAAATGCAGTTTCAGGACGCTTTATTATCAAATCTGCAGCTACTCATCCCAATTAAAGGAAACCAACGCACTGAGAATAAGGAAGTATTCTTCTACCAAGTTCGTCCCCCTGGACGCTTGGGCATTGTGCCCGATGGACCGTACAGTCAGATCCCTGATAGTGAATTTGTGTTAGATGACACCAGCATGTATTTCGATGCACCAAAGAAAACCATTAAGAAAGATTTGAGTCAAGTCGAATATAAATCTAGAGAAAACAGCTTCAAATACCCAGTCATGCGATTAACCAACAATGAAGCGTTAAACCCTTCCCTGTTCGAAAAATGTCGTAAATTGCTACAGATCGAACATTTGAGATCTGAATGGGAACCTAGACTTCAAATTCCTTTAAATGACAAAGAATCTCAAAATGAAGACCACGATTTAATTCTCAAATTGTGCAAGGCTCTTATTGAACGAGAAAATAAGCAGAGTAATGAGAATCTGGAAACGNTGGAAACATCAGGTGACGTATTCGCAACTGCGTCGTCTGGCAATGTGGGCTTCAGTGGCACTGGAGGGGCCACAGGGAACTTGGGGGCAGGGGGAAATGGCGCATACGCTGGAAATGTTGGATTAGAGGGAAAAGGGGGCATAGATTCCAGCAGTAACACTTGGGCTGATGATATTGCGTTAAATATTTTGAAAGGTTTAGGTCTCGGACTAGGAAATCTTGGCATCAACGGCCACGGAGGGATCGCAGGCAATGCCGGCTTCAACGGACACGGAGGAGCAGCGGGAAATGTAGGCATCGGAGGGAAAGGTGGGCAGGCTGGCAACTTAGGTATAGGGGGAAAAGGTGGACTCGTGGGAAATTTAGGAATCGGTGGGCAAGGCGGTTTCTTCGGTAATGTGGGCATCGGAAGTGCAAATCAGTATTTCGACCTTTACTCAGATTCTGGACAGGGAAACTTTTTGTCGAATTTTCTCCCAGGACTTCCAAATCAAGCAACAAAAAACGAAGGCGAAGGTAATATAAAAAAAGCTTCGCTTAACTATCCGCCTACAAATCAAGACAGTCAAAAAGAAAACAATAGACCGCCACAGATTGGAGACAGCGGAGTTCATGTCGCACTGACGTCGCATGAGCCGCCATCTTACCAGGTGGTCGGGGGCGCCGGCGCTGCAGCACAGGGTGCCGCCATCAATGTGGCTGTTGATGGAAGAGGTGATCAATACCACAGCGTGGGTGTGGCAGGGAAGGGGGATTTAGTAAAGAGTCTTTTGAACGTTGAGCCTGTGCGTGACAAAGAGGCTAAGCAAATAGCTAGAAACGAATTTTACGTTGGGTCGTTGGCTTACGGCGGGCACGGAGGTCAGATTGGGAATTTGGCGGTAAATGGAGGAGGGGGGAACTCCAGGGCTCATATTTGTTGTGACTCTCACTGTATCCACGTGTACTACTTGCTGATAAATTCGCCAGCAATGAGATCGGGACTGGCGTCCCCCGGCCGGGGCGCGGCTGAGCCTGCGAGCCCCCGCCCCGACCGCGAGCACCAGGCTGAATTCGAGTCGAAGTTCAGGCCCATGAGCGGCCGCCGCGACTGGATGGTGCTGGATAATAAGTATGACGAAAGGTAAGCACCATTAGTACCTACCTACTTATCCTGACATAAAGTAATAGGTATTTATTTCATGGCATATAACTTAAGTTATAGAATTAATTTGTATTTATTATTTTCTAATTCCAGATTGCGACAATATGTTAATAATCAGTAAGTATTCAGTATTTTTATTATACTTGTAGTACTTACCTAAATTGTTTTGAAGTATCCTAATAACATTCCTTTTTATTTTCAGCAAACCATGGCTAGTTTTATAAGTAAGTGTGAAATAAAAGTTGATAATCCGAATTTTGTTTTACTATCAAATTAAAATACATGCTAAACCTACCTAGATCGGCTCCCGCGTAAATATCCACACTGCTGAGTTTGCTTAGTAGACTAAGAGCTAGTGAATGCCAGACCTACGTCATTTTATAAAAGCTGAAAGTTTCTCAGCGTATGCTCCCAATATAGGATTTAATGTTGGTGAATTATGAAGTTTGGGTTGTGGTGGCTTTGGGAGCTACCCTAAAAAAACTGTCTGGCTGTTGGGGAAAATACTTCTAATTATTGTGCAAATATGATTTAATAAATCAGTTTTTTTTAGGGTAGCTCCCAAAGCCACCACAACCGAAACTTCATAATTCACCAATATTAAATCCTATATTGGGAGCATACGCTGACAAACTTCAGCTTTTATAAAATGACGTAGGTCTGGCGTTCACTAGCTCTTAGTGTATAGTGTGGGGGCGTCACTCGCAGCCGAGCAGCGACTTCCTGCAGCAGTTGCAGCAGCGCGGCAGCAGTAGAGCCGGCCGGCGCGTGCGGTTGTAGGACCGGCCGCGCGCGTGCCCGTACGCGCCCAGGTACTGCTGGCCGCGGCTGTCGTACTTCGGGCCCTCGGGCACCAGCACGCTGCGCTGGCACAGCCGGCCCTGCCCAACAACACTATTACAGCGGAGTAGAAACAGCAGTACCTATATTTTTTACGAATTCGTACGTTCCATCAGGTGAGAAGCAGGCCAAGCTTCCTTATTGTAGATTAAAAAATAGCTCTATGTAGCGTTAGTATGACAGATTACTTCTTAAAGGTAGCAGGAGGGCGCTAAATGCAGGTCAGTACCAACCGGTCAGTCTGGGAATCATTGGAGGAAGCCTATGTTTAGCAGTGGACGTTCTGTGGCTGAAATGATGATGATGAGCATGTGATCCACTAATCGCATAGGCAACCATAATAACTTCCAAGAGGTGATTCCGTGCAAAGTAGGTAGGTTCTCCATGCATAAGATGTTCGAGATAGAATTGAATGGCGGCGCATGATTGCGACAGCAGCCCCGGGATACCGGGATAAGGCGAGGCAGAAGAAGAAGAAGAGCTGCACGCGTGTTTGGTTGAAGCTTTACCTTGACCCGGAGCGCGTGCACGTGGCCGCCCTTAGCCGGCGCCATGTCGAGCTGGTCGGGGCGCAGCGTCGCGTGGGCGAAGCGCGCGCGCATCCGCAGCCCGCCTCCAAAAGAGTCCTCGCCGCTCAGCTGCAAAGAGCCGGTGTGCTTTATAGGTCTGGCGCATAAGTGAGTGCCTGAGGTATGGGAGGTGTTTTATGGGAGGTATAGGATATGCTTCAGACTTGTATGCTCTGTCACATCATTATTATGCCACCTTTCCCGTGCCATTCCCCTACCTCAGCCTCAGGCACTGCGCTAGACCTAAGTAAGTATAGCGAGATTTTTTTTCATAGCAAGCTAACATAGAATTGTTGACCTTTCTAAAGATTTGAATTAGTATACAGGTTANTGACATAAAATATTTTTTTAATAATTATAAACTTACTACCTACCCTTTTTCACATGAACGCGTAGAGATATTAAAGTTGAAATTCATATCAAACACTTCTTAAATCTAATTGCCTCTAAACTGTGAGAAATTCTAAATCAACGCAAAAATTCAAAACGCTGAGGTAGGTACACCTACCTATAATGCAAATATAGGAAAAATAAATAAATAAAAAATAATCATAACGAATATTTTGAAATTCGCCACTACTCGCAACGGAATCAAGTAAGTAATTTGATTTAATACGTCATAAATTGTAAACCGCTACGTTTGTACCTACGGCGGAACCCTCGGTGTGCGAGCCCGACTCGCACTTGGCCGGTTTTTTTTTTACAAATTCGAACATTATTAGAAGCTTGCTTCGACCTGATCATTACGTTCCATCAGGTGAGAAGCAGCCCAAGAGCTTCCTCATTGTGGATTAAAAAATAACTCTATGTAACGTAAGTATGACAGACGAAATTCTGAAGGTGGATGCAGGGCAGGCCGCTATCAACCGGTCAATCTGGGAATCATTTGGGGAGGTTCAGCAGTGAAGGTCCTGTGGCTAAAATGATGGTGATAATGAGTGTGTGATCTGATCGCATAGGAAACCATGGTCACTTCCAAGAGATGATTGCGTGCAAAGCAGACTGTCAAATTTTTCTATAGAATTTGTGAGCGGCGACGGCGCCGCGTGGAGCGAAGAGAAATGGTAGTTCCATTTCTCTTGGTCTGGCCAAATCTGATTGGTTATTTCAAACACTTCTCTGCTCCGTACCGCTTTGGTGGAAACCGGGCCTAACGGGAATAGGGGATAGGGCGAGGCAGAAGAAAGCTCCTACCTTCATGTTCCCATCAAAGCCCTTAAGTCGGCTGCTGAAGCAGTTACCTTGACCCGGAGCGCGTGCACGTGGCCGCCTTTGGCCGGTGCCATGTCGAGCTGGTCGGGGCGCAGCGGCGCGCGGTCGTAGCGCGCGCGCATCCGCAGCCCGCCTCCAAAAGACTCCTCGCCGCTCAGCTGCAAAGAGCCGGTGTGCTTTAGGGCTTAGGTTGCGTTTAACTGAGTGCCTGAGGTATGGGAGGTGTTTTATGGGAGGTATGGGATATGCTTCAGACTTGTATGCTCTGTCACATCATTATTATGCCACCTTTCCCGTGCCATTCCCCTACCTCAGCCTCAGGCACTGCGCTAGACCTAAGTAAGTATAGCGAGATTTTTTTTCATAGCAAGCTAACATAGAATTGTTGACCTTTCTAAAGATTTGAATTAGTATACAGGTTATACCGTCTTTGATTCTCTATTGAAATTATTCTAAAATAACGCCAGTTCTACCATGTCTAGTGGATGCTATCACGTCTGGCCTGTGTTATTTTAGGAGCAAATTAGGAAATTCAGCAAATACTTATTACGAAATAAAAGCACGATCGGGTTATTACATTCTCCTACATCATGGTACCTACCTCACTGTCAGCCTCCGGGGGCGCCCCCTCCCGAGGCGCTCCCGGCTCCCGCGGCATCGGCACCGGCACCCGCGGCGCGCCGGCCGGCCGCGCCTCCATCCTCTTCTTGTTCATGAACTCGTTGAACAGCTGCTTGTTCCTCTCAATGAAGTTCTTGATCTTATTTATCTTCGCATTTTCTTTATTACCATCTTCCTTTCTGTCGGAACTTCGAAAATTCGCCACCACTTTGAGACCGGAGCGATTGAACTTTAGGACGTTCGTCACAATTTTCAGCGTCGTACTCCTGGGGAGTGGTTTTGTTGTGGTTCTGACTGTTCTCTTAACAGTGGCATTCCGTGTTATAAATCTGAAAGTACTAGTTTCTGATTTATTTGTAGTCGCTTCTATACTCTTGCTTTCAAGAGAATCGAACAATCTTCGTTGAGGTGTGACATCATTTTTGGTGTCGATGATCAAGTTCGTATTCGAAGGTCCTCGCCTGTAGGAGAACTTCCCCTCTTTGGGGAGTGTCTGATTGTGCCTGGTCTCAGTAGTGTTGAGGCTTGCGGTAGTTTTGTGCAGGTACGGGTTGGGCAAGTCCACGGAGACAGTTGTGGATTCAATGTAGTCGTCATTGTTCCTGCGCAAATCCTGTTTTAAAATATCCACGAAATCTGAAACTAATAAAAGTTCGTTTCAACAAACTTTCAATTATAATATCTACGTTACTTTACAATGAATTTCACGTTGATTTCAGTTGACATAAACATTTAACTTCAGCCTTTTGAATGGATGTCTGATAAAGACTTTTAGGATTGCACAATCAAATAAAAGTCACTTATGTTTTTGTCCCAATATATTAGGCACACACGCCCGATACAATATTCGTTCCCCGTGCGACTGCCCGCCGCACGCCGCGTACATGTAACCTGACACCCCCACAGACTCAATCACGTCGGCAGGTCTGCAAAGTTGTGAATGAAACATGAAATTACCAGTCTTCGGGGTATCGGTGGTGCCGATGGTATCGCCGAGGAGCCCGGAGCGCGTCAGGACGAATAAAATAACGTCGAGTCGCATCCTTTGTGCGCGGCGCAATCACAAGTTGCCGTATAAGGCCGGCATAATGTAGTTGCCATAAACTGCCGATAAACGCGTCGCGCCGTCGAAGTTTCGCAATAACTTCTGAGAACTTTATAACGTTGTTATTTGCTGAAACTCGAATAACTATACAGCGAGCTCATGTGACAATGCGGTTTATGAACTAAATATTACATCAAAAGAAAGCAACAACAATGATGTTGTTTTATGGGTTTTTGTACAAACTTACAACTTATAGTTTTAATCTGGAACGATGACTTGCGGAAGAGAATGTTATACGTACTCCTATATCTATAGAGGGGTATAGATGGCTTGTACCCATCTGTATCCCATATTTTTCAATAGCTATGACCTACACATTGAAAATCATCTTAAATTGAAGAAATGCAAAACTTTTGAAAAGATTTTGGTAAGATCCAGCTGGCTAAATGAATTGGGGAGTAAAGTGGTCCTATTCGACTCAGCCAGCAACACATTAATTGAACAGAATCCCTTTCATTGATACCTATAATGATTACTAGTATACGAGTAGGTATTTTGAGATTTCGTTGCGGGTCTAATGACAGTTTAACTTTCCCCTGGGATAAACTTGACCTTCACTGGTTGTGTTTTTATTGGCGGTCAAGCTGTAGATCCTGGCTACACAGGAGTTGCAGTACCGCTGCAATTGGAACTCTGTGTTCGGCAAGATTCGCGGGTGTAAATAAGGGTCATGTTGTTAATAAATAATGTATTCCCTACGCCTATCTGAACCCAAACAGCGTGTTATTCTCCCCCGAGTCTTCACTAAGGTCAGCGGAGTCGCGAGCCGGCATGTACTGGCGACGCGAGCGCGGCAGATGGAAGTCGGGGAAGGGGCGGCCGTCCAGGCTGATGAGCGCCACGCCCGCCGGACTCTCCTCCTGGATGAAGCGCCCCTGGGACAGGCTGCGACGGTTCGGGTGCAGGCTCTTTACCTGCAGAATTTTAGGCCATAAAATTAATTTAACTGCTTCAAATATACTTAAAAAAAACGCTGGTCCTCGCTATCTCAAGTTGTTAAGGCATTACCTATTACACTTTAAGGTCAAGAAAGTAACGTATTTATGAGCAGGAATTAAAAGTATAGCTTTCTTCCATACCTAAAGCCATTAGATAAAATTACATAAATGCAGTGCAATGAATGTATTAACTTTAATCTTTAGAGAATATTGCTTATTGATAGGCTTTGCTGTTGAGTAACCTTTGATAGAGACGTTGGCCAGTGAGCAAGTTGTCTGAATAAGCGATTTTGACATGGTACCTACATATTAGTAGGTAGTATTATTTTTTTGTAGTTTGTCCTTAATGGGAGAAGCTAAAACAGCCAGGTCAAGTGGAACCCAAAGTTCAAAATTAAAGCACTCTCCAAAAAGCACGTAAATCCAATTTTCCCGATTTGTTGTTACTTTCTTTCTTACCTTTAAAACTTTGTACTTCGTCTTCGGACCAGTATCATTAGAAGCTTTGAGGTCTCCTGAAACGTCTTCCAAGGTGTTCAGCGCCGCCTCCCGAAGACGGTCATCATCCATGTAGTACAGCAGGTCGTTCTTGGACACGACGTGGTCGAACTTCTTGGATTCTTCTTTGGATTCTTTCGCCCTGGGTTTGAAGAGGTGTGGCCTGGCCTGCCTCTCCGCAGAGCCGGCCAGGGTGTCATTGTCCACGTAAAGAGGATCGTTGGGCACGTCGTGGTCGTAGTGGTGGGCGGGAGGGAACAGGTCCTCCTCAGTAGGAAGATAGTCGTAGTTATCTTCCATGAGCTGACGACGGATTTTTTCTACTAGTTTTATTGTCTTGTTCGGCACGGGCTTTACTGTGGAATGATATCGGTTGGTTACTTCGGAAAAGTAAAATAAATTTAATATTACGCAGGCTGACGTACTGACACGCTTTCAAGGTTTAATCTATCACTTAGGTAAATAATTGTTTGATTGTAAACGTTACCTTAAGTTGTAATAAATATTCACGCTATGTAGGTATGTTCCTAATACTAATTCCATTTAGACAATCTAATTTATAGACCTTCCCCTCGTTCTGTTAATCGATTGTAGGCTTACACTGTGTTAAGTACTCAAATACGATCCCTCGAATAGACAAAACACTTTGGTGGCATTACAAAGTGGTACATTAGCGTACATAGTAATGGGTCGCGCCGGGTCGCGCCTGAATATAAATGCGGGTCGCGGCGACTCGTGGAAAAATATCTCTGTTCGTCCCGCTTCCTAATGAGAAGGAGAAATTAGCCATGACTACAGGCAAAGCTAATTCTTTGCTTTTAAATAAACATAGTGGGACTTGTTTGTTTTATTTAATTACCTACTTTGCCTTTGGCTCCGGGGAATTCTTTTTCAAATTACGGGCACTGAATTTTCAGTTCCTTAATTTACTTAAGTACTGAAGTAAATTACATTGTCATATTATAATAAGCGTACTATATTTTTGTTAGTGAGTTAGCTGAAGATCATGGATATTTTATGAATTAAAAATTATATTTTCCTTTTTAAAAACCTTAGTCATTTAAGTTCTAACAGATTTAGCCAGTGCACACCTCAAGTATGATGCATGTACCTAATATCACATCTCATAAAAGTGATCTACGATAATACTTAAGGACAAAGAAAGTGGTCTACATACCACCGCGCCCGAAGTTTCCCTGAGCGACAAGCAGGCTGACGATCATTAGCATCATCCCGTGGACTCTGTCAACGTCGCCATGTAGCATCACTTGGGGCGTCACCGCGACCAACATCGGTGCGGTCACACCATAAGATGTCGTCGGACTGTGAACAATTTAACTTTCCATGTGTTGGTGCGAGAATGACGTCAGTTTCATCCCGGCGGGTGTTATGACGTCACGCTTAAAGGGGCCGATGAAGTGTGTGGTGGCGGAGGGAATATGTTGAAACTGTCGACATACTGGCTCTATCGGTTTACGACACGAGAATAGCCTGCGTTTTATTATTTGTTTTACACAGCCACTACATTGGTATTTTAGCGTGCACGAAATTTATTTCGATGATGTTTAAAAGTGAGATTTTATATTGGAATTGAAAAAATGTAGTACGTTGTAAGTAATATTCATAAAAGTGTGGTAGAGCCCAGACCAAATTGTAGCAACCATTTAAAATATGATGGTGGAAATTATTAGGTAGGTAGGTACATGGGGAGTTGTACAGTTATAATTTGTCGATATAGGTAGCTCTACAAGGTTAACAGTTATTAATAAATTCGTTAAATTAAAATCTTCGCTAGAGTATCAGTAAGTAAACGAAAGAAGAACGTGTCAGTTCATTTCGAGTATATAATTAGGTATTCGAGGTAATTCGCAAAACAAAGAAGAGCGCAAGGGTAGGTACCTAATAAACTTAATAAGTCGGACAGGAAAATGATTACCCATCTAATATTCACTGCAGCTCCGGCACCTTTCTCGGAAAAATTGGTTATGAACTTAATAAACGTCTGTTGCGCTGCGAATGGAAAATTGGTTCCAGGAATCCGCCCTATCGCGTAGAGTTCGTAACTGAGCACGTTAAACTTGGCCAAGCGTAGATCGGTGCCTCTAGCAAGAATAACTTACGTCTTTGAATTGTTTTGTATTCGACAAAATATGATACTCAGCCTTGTAATGCAATGCAATAAATGATTTGATTTGATTTGATTCGAACTCAACGATAATGGTGAAGATCTCGATTGTCAAAATTTGTATGAAACTTTATAAAAACTTTAGTCGCTATCGTAACTATTCATTTAGATAGGTTTTTTACCCAACGATTTGAGATGAACTCATGGTAGTGTTTTTAGTTTTGCTGTGGTTCTGCTACTAACCGCTAGAGGCGCTGTACAATTTGCCATACATTTTTTCACGCACTCGATAGCGAGATACTCGGTAGGTAAACTCATGGTAGAGGCACTGATGGCGATTTGATTTCGAATACTCAACGATTCGAAGTCGAAAAATTTTCTAGCTAGAGGTTGTGTTTGGTGTTGCGCGACGATGCGCACTTGTTGCCAGCGTTGCCGAGGACAAACATCGGCGCAGTTATTAAAATATCTACAGTTTTGTTCGAGAACAATCGCTGGGAGCAGCGCGTCGCTCAGGGCTGCTGGTCTTACACTGAAATGTTCCACCCATGTAAAATCTAAATTATAAAATAAGTGACAACTCTATAGTTTCGGATGAGTGGTAGAGCATAATATTAGCCATAGTCCAGTCAAAAATAAGGGATCAACTTCAGAATGGGAGATGATGAATTTTGGCATGTACCTACTTAAGTACCGTCATTTTGGCGTTCTGAAAGTTGTGTTAACAGTACGTAATAGTCACAAGGTTAAAGAAAAACAGTTTTTCACGATTATCATTCAAATTGAAAAATGTTTTTGATTTGGATACTTAGTCCATTTATCGAGGGAGGTTGTAATGAATATTGCAAGTATTACGCCGGCACCCCTGGGCTCGTCCGCGCTTCTTAAAAGATGGAAAATAATAAGAATATCTCACTAACGCGGATGTTCAATGTAATTTCCTGGAAGAGATAAGCGACAGTTTATTTCCTGTTTCTCTGTGTCTCTGTTGGCTCTCAGATCAATTTACTTGAAACTGGCCTTGGTCCGCGGCTTCTCTTGAGTTAACTAAGCTTCAGTCCATCTTTAGTTTTTTTATTATTTATTTATTTATTTATTTATTTAGGTATTTATTTTTTGGGAAACATACAGTTACAATATAATTTAACTTAGGTGCAGTAAAACAACATATAAACCAATTAAGTTATAAAATCTTAATAATCTTATAAAATCTCTATCGTGACAAATAATGTATCATGCCAAATCAACTTATTATTGTTATAAAATTCTGAAAACTCGTCGAAATTATAATAAATTAAACTTTAAATTTAATTATAATACTTATTACCAGAACCTTCATTATTAAAAAAACATTATCAAAAATTCAGAGATTAAATTAATTAACCCTCAACGCTGCTTCAGTTTTACACAGCCGTATCTATCTGTTTGTTCGTAATTCATAGAACTCAATCTCATCTGCTTAATGGAAAATACTTCAATTCTGGCTTAGTATTTTATTTTTCAGGACAACAGGATTTTCGCCTAAACACAAAGTCTTTCAATCTGGAATATCTGCAGTTAACTACGGGCATGCCTAACTCAGTACTTTGCTTTTGTCGTTATTCAATCCTTGGTCTAGCCCCGTAGGTATTCTTTTTCTTTATTCTTGAAACTGTCATAATAAAATTTGACGTTCCTACTAAGTATCATAAGTGAATAGGCCTCCTACTAGGTGGACCGACGATCTGGTAAAGGTCGTGGGAAGAGCCTGGATGCGGGCAGCGTAGGACCGTGCATTGTGGAAAACCTTGGGGGAGGCCTTTGTCCAGCAGTGGACGTCAATTAACTGAAACGAACGAAGTATAATTTTAAAGACCACACGTTCAAACCCTATCATGAGTTCTGTGCTAAGCTCTGTAAATATGTGCATACTAAACGTGGTCATAAATTCAACTCTGAAGTTGCGAGTTGCGAAGCGATCCATTAATTACAAAATAAAATATGAAGCAATTTGTTGATGCCATTTAAATATTCTCTCCGCGCAAAAATTACCTTGCTGTGAAAAGTGAAAGGATGCGCTAAAACTAAATACATTATATTCTTTTAGCAAATAAACTGTTGAATAGAAAATAGCGAGCTTTGGCGGACAGTCGCGCACAAATGATATTAATCACTCGCAAATGGATTGGCAGAGATTAGTGCGACCACGCCGCGCGGCCGCGCGGGACTCTATTCGCACCAAACACTTTGCTTCATTACAAATGGAATGGAATATATTATGTAGGTATGTGTTTTCAAATTCCTACAAATAAATTCTATAGCTCGCTTATTATCATCCACTTCTGCTCCTGCATAGATCGCAACTCGTATGATTATCTTATGAAGTCTGACGAGGCAGTCTACCCAACATGAAATATTTAAAAAAAATATTATTTTATGATACCTTATTGATAGAGCATTATTAAAATAAGCTGTTAAATTCTACAGTGCTGCGGAGAGCACTTAATTAAAGTCATCGATTCCATCGAGCTGGTCGTAAAGTCGGACCCAGCTCGTGACCGCAGCCGAGTCAAGAAGCGGAGACCCCCTCGTAACGAACTTAGGGCCCGTCCCGCGCGGAACTCGATTCGTGATAGTATTTTTCGCACTACTGTGCCAGACGAAAATCAATGAAAAACGAACTAACAGATTATGTACTTACTTATTTCCTATAAATACAGAGTACTTAAATAACACAGTAGAAAAAAATGCAATTCACTCTACCTCAACCTAACGTGTGACATTTTAAACCGTTATGTTGTTTGGCCAGGTAATTAGTATTTTGAAATTAAAAGTTCTACATTAATTTATCTAATTGAATACTTATTGTAATTTATAAAAAGTCGTTTTAAGACGAAAATTTGCATGCTGTGTTATCATAGTTAAATAGTTGAAAGCAACATTTATCTCTTTGAAACACCTTTTTGTAAACCCTATTTATTGCAAATAAATAATTTGAATTTGAATTTAAAATTATCTATTTAAGTTAAAAAAAATTGAAGAGAGATTTCAGCTGCCGATATTTTCTTTGGTCAGTTTTATGACTAGTAACTAACGTCTATTATACTCGTACCTAATGTAAAATAACGACACTACTAAAACAACTTTATCAGTCTTAATAAATCGTGCTATATCTGTAACTGATACAATAAACAAAGAATCCAACCAGACGTGATGATAATGCTTAAACAAAATAATAATTTCGTAAAACAATACTGAAAATAAGCACCTTTCGGATGAAATATGACCTTCAGGGATTTAAAGACGGCATAAATTACGCGGGTCCGCTCCATATTAATTACCGGGGACACTTCCGGCTGCGCCGGGAAAGAAGGCTGTACATCGGTGGGCGGGCGCAGACAATGGGCGCGGTCAGCGGGCCGCGGCGACAGACAACAACATTGTTGGTGAATCTAGATACTAGTCTTGTTACCAAGCATTTTGTTAATAATAAAAGTTCATAGCTACGATAGCCCAACGATGAAGTGGTCGGACTGGCCGACTCGAGATCCGAGGAACACGGGTTGGATTCCCACCGCCGATCGACTGTTGTGGTGAGCCCACTCGTAAGCTTATTTAGCAAAACTCAGTAAAACTCATTTATTTCTGTAAGTAGGCTTTAAAAAATCACTTTTAGCTCACCACGAAGCAGGGCTAATGGGACTATTCGTAATTTGTGCAATACAAATTGCTAATAATCTTTTTTTAATTAAAAAAAAATAAAAATAAAATCTTTTAAAAAGCGCTTTTATACGTTTCAATATTACTTTAACTCTACCACTGCTTCGGAACAATAAATGAGCCGGTGCTGAGAAGAAGCAGCGCATGAATGTCAGTCAGTCAACATTATAAAGTTTCTTTTTCGAAGATCCATCCGTCCTTGAACATGTTACACTACGCTAGTTAGTTCCAAACTAAACAAGTTAAGTTAAATTAATGACCATTAGTTGTTTATTCTCACCTATATTTTATGAATCGCTGCTTCTACTTTATCATCTTCTTTTCGAGTGAGCTTTCACGCGACTTTCAATGAATCAAAGGAAAATTGAATACAAATGGCATTTGAAATCCCATTTTTAATTATATAACTTTAATAAAATACCTACCCTTTTATTAAAACCTCTCGCAATCTCACTTAATTCTGGGTAAAAAGCAATACACCGGATCAT